TTAACCATAGTCAGAAACTGTTCCGAAGATTATTAATGAATTATTGGCAATAGCAGTGTCAGCCCTTTTGGTCTTTTACGAGCAATCGGCATAAGGCAAGAGGAAGTTTCAGGTCACAAATTGAAAAAAAGTAAGGTGTTGGTTTGACCTTGTTTTGGAAACTTGATCGGACCGACAGGGAGACTTCGTGGAGTATACCTAGTCCTGTGTCTTCCGCCATAGCATTCATTATGATTTCCAGCATCGGATCGTTGATTTGGTACGCTCACAGACGTTTCTCGGGCCTCCTAGTCGACATAGTCGATATCTATCTGTGTCGGAAATCATTCTGAATACTATGTTATATGACGCAGAGCTAGGTAGATTCCACAATGTCTACCTGTCGTTCCGACTAGGTTGCGAAATGTAGGCCAAACCAACAATATACAGCAAAAGGAGACTGACCAAACAAAGACAACACCATCTTGGTCTTCATATCAACTGCTTAAAATAAGTGCGTCCGAAAAATAACGTGCCTATGTTCAAGTATTGGTTGAAGTATATTAAAAAAGGCCGTCGGTATATAGTTTATGACGAAAGCCATCTATCAATGAAGCTTAAGTCTTTCAACAAGAGCCTATAATGTGTTCAGTCTGACAGCCAAATTATAGGCCGGACCCTGGAGAAAAGACGGTCAGCAATAAGTTGATCAGACAAGTGTAATATTATCAATAACATATGATTAAAACAATTTAATAAGTAGGCATAGAAAAATTAGGTGGATAACCAGCTTTACATTAAGTAAGGGCAAGCAGAAGAAACTGGGTGACTTCAAGGAGCAGAAAAATCTATGCATATAGAAAGTAAATAAAGTCCGAAAGCATATATAGAATTTAGATAAGAACTAGAGTAGTCTATAGAATTAAATGTCCCATCTAAAAATAGATATGGAAAATAAAGACAATTTGTGGCCCTGTAAGATAAAATAAAGAGATTGACTGAACGAATCATGAAAAGATTGCTCTTATCGCCTGGAATCAAATTCATTCAAAGCATAGAAATTTAATATATATCAAGGAGAAGAGTATAGGCAGATTAAGCTGACAGGAAATCTAATATTACGTGGTATCAATACGTTTTCAAAAGCTTTGCCTGTAAATGCATACAGGATTAAGATAGGGCCGACATAATAGAAGATCAGACAAGTTTCAATCTGCTAGTGATGCTTGGCTGTGATTCATAGAAAAGATGCAAGTACGAATAAGATTAAAAATTGAGGGATTTACTGCTTACTGTATGCAGAACTAGTTAACGATTTTGCCTGAGTATTGTCGGGAGAGCTAGAGTCGACACTGGCTTGTCCCGTGGCTGACAGGTTAGTTTGTTTCTCTGCATGCCTTTGTGCAACACCGACGTCAATGGCTGCAGAGAGGCGTTCGGTAACATCAGTGTGTGTAGTTGCCATCAGGTCAGCGATTCCAAGAAGATACATTTGGTCAAGAGGAGATAGTCCTGGCAGTTGATGGCGAGTCAGACTGTGGACAAAGCGTGCCGAGACATGGTGAAGCGATAGTTGTGGCGAGGTTGGTGTTGGTTAATCCGAATGTATACAAAATGGGATTTATAATGGAAGAGATGAGAAATTGTATATAAAGAAGAAATATCGTAATTAGAGGTTCCCTTTGGAAAACAAAAGTATAAAAATAGAACAGAGATAAACACACATTTCAGAATTCAATGGATTATAATTGTAGCCAAGGATAAATTTGGAGTATGAAAGGGTTCAATGAATACGATAGTAGTATGATTAAAGGGCATTTTATTTTGGTTATTATGCATAAGTTATGTTCACCTTATTTCGATTAAGGTGATGAAGGACTGTTAGTTGAATTTTCCCACAATGATATGAGTAGAGATAAAGTTCCTATTTAATTTCACATAAGCCTGCTTTCCCAAAGGGCGAAACAGAGTGAACATAACTCATAAACCTGATTTACTGGTAGTCCTGAAAATCTGCTCAATATTATACATGAACAGGAAATAGTGAAAAAGTTTCAACCATGCAAAATCAGAATAGTAAGTCAAGATCTAAAAGTAAATAAATAAAAGTCTAAGTAAGTCTGGTAATAAATATCTGCCGGTAGAGATTGATAGGTAATATAGAAAAATGAAGAAGTTAAAGTTAGTAATCAGAGAGTGGGAAAAAGTGTGGATGAGGTTGCAGGATTTTATAAGGAAAGGATTTCTGAGATGGAGAATTTGACAATTTGACTCAGATATAAATAAGCAACGGATATCCAAAAGAAGTAGTAGAAAAGAAAATACGGGCCATGGAAAGTCAATGGCAGGACGGGCTTATGCAGAAAAGGTAAGGATGGAGAGACTCACAAAAGTGGATATGCATACCTTAGGGCAAACTAAACAATACAAATAAAATATAATACTCAGGTAATCACAAAGGAAATAACAACACTCTTCACAAGTATGCCCACGCAACACGAGGGTGGACAAATTGGAATGCTCAGGAGTTTACTGCATGGAGTGCGCCGCCTGCCGACAGAAATATATTGGCGAAACAGGGAGAAAAACTAGCATACTAATCAAGCAATATCAAAAGCTATGCAGAAAAATGGATACTAAAAGATCAGAAATAGCGGAACACATCGCACAGACTGGAGACGAGATAAATTGGCATATGGTGTAAACACGAAGAAACGTTAGAATAGAGAAGCCGTAGCATCCTT